GTTTCTAGAACCCTCTTTCTGTTACCTGCTCTGCTGCTCAAATGAGTATGTGCAAGTATGTGTGTGTTTGCAAATATGGACAGGAGTTGGTAGGTCTGCTATTCTGCTTCTAGTATTTTGGTGCTGCGTCATTAGTAGGAGAGCGTAGGATGGGGCCTCTGGATGTCGCCCTCCACTTCCTTTGTTAGTAGGAGAGCGTAGGATGGGGCCTCTGGATGTCGCCCTCAACTTCCTTTGCTTCTGGATTTAAACTGAGTAACTCATGGAATGTGTTTGCACTGGGACTGACTTGGGGCATTAATTTTCACAAAAGGCAGAAACCCCCTTTTGTTTCTGGTAGAAATTGAAGATGTCGTTGTGACAGCCCCCACTTCTCACCAAAGGTGAGCACAACCTTGCCCCTTTAATCTCACGAAGTGGTTTTCAGGATGACACATGAATTGGAACTCATGGAATCTTCTCTGCTTTGCTGCAGGCCTGCGAACCATCAAGTTAACCAAGTGAGCTCACCGAGTTATACCAGCTGTGTAATTTCAGGCTGAATTCTCCTCCCACCGTGACTGAGATAGCACATCCCATTGCTCTCCCAGTTCTATGTGTGACTGACATCGTAAACAGTCCGGGGAAGGTGATGTCTCGTCCATAAGGAATTGTGTTGCTGAAATGGACTGCATGGTTAGAATGGAAACAGAGTAAAACTTGGTTTATTCCGCCCCAGGATGTGCTCTGCCCACTTGATGCTTATCACAGTGTCCCAAAGGCACCGCAGAACTGTGCTCTCGGAATTACTAAAGAAAGATGAACTTGTGGTCACTGCGGTGTTTGTGCTTTGGTGCGTATGGCTGAAGTCTGACTGTTTGCAAACCGGTTAATCCACAGAGGTGTGTGTGTTCTTGATGGTTCTGAGTCTTTGGTTAACCTGAATATCTTAAGATCTGATGCTGCAACCATGATAGACAGGATTAAATTTCCTTCCACAAAAAGAATATATTCATTTATGCTTCCACTATACATTTGCATCCAAGTCTTTATACTCTT